GACAAGGCAGCAATCCATGAAGGGGCAGTCATAACCTAGAAAGCCCTTAATGGTTTAGGACCTAGATAATTAGTGGAATGTCCCACCTACAAAATAGCTACCCATTCCACACACTCCTCACAGTCCTTGGTATCAAGAATCGCAATACCCAAGGAGGCCAAAGAAGATGGCACTAGGCGCTGAGCTTTCTTGGTCATTTCCCCTTCTCTCTGGAACAAGCTTCCCTCAAAGGTTCGCCATGAACCATCCATATCTCTATTTTTAGGAAATTAATTAAGACAGAATTATATAAAATTGCTCTCTACTGGTGTCAATATTATCCTGAAATGTTCAAATGGGCTTTAATTTATATACAGTGGGGTCTTGACTTGAGAACTTAATCCATATTGGAAGGCGGTTCTCAAGTCAAAAAGTCTGTAAGTCAAGTCTCCATTGACCTACAGTGCATTGAAAACCGATTAATCCCGTAACAGGCCGTTTTTGTTCCATTTTGGTTTTTTTCTGGTCTGTAAGTCAAATCTCAGTCTGCAAGTCAAACCTAAATTTTGCGGCCAGAGAAGTCTGTAACTCAAAAAGTCTGTAAGTCAAGCCATCTGTAAGTCAAGGGTCCACTGTATTTTTAATTTAAAAATTATTTCTAAAGAAAAGACAATCCATAATGTTACAAGTAATAAATACAAATCTTAACATAGTAAACTGTCATCTTACTTGTTCTATAATTTAACTGTTGACCAATTGCTATTCCCCACAATTCTCAAAAGCATATTTACACCTTTCCCCATCTCATCTTAAAGAAATATCAACCAACAATCTAAATGCTCCAAATTGTTTTCCAAATCATACATCTCAAGATTTATATTATTGGCATATTTTAATGGCTTCCAATTTTCAGTGAATTGACTGTGCCTTATTTCTGCTCTATATAGAATTACTGACCTATTCGATTCAGGGGAACCGATCACTATTAGGCAAAGAGAAGAGAAAACAAAGCAAATAAAAACCAATTGGCTACAAATAAAACAAATAAAGAAGTTTCATTATTCACAATTTATATTTTATATAAAGGTAGTTCCAGCTAGCAATAGAGTTTATTACATATTTATTGTCTTTTTTTTATCAAATGGTGTTTTAATGGGGCAGTATAGTAATGTAGACAGACAGACAGACAGACAGACAGACAGACAGACAGACAGACAGACAGAGACAGACAGACAGATAGATAGATAGATAGATAGATAGATAGATAGATAGATAGATAGATAGATAGATAGATAGATAGATAGATAGATAGATAGATAGATAGATAGATAATTTTGAGACAGTGATCATTATTACTCCAGTCACACCCGAGAATATATGTTAAAGAAAGCTGGAAAATGTTTTATGATTGGGCCCGGAAACAAACATGAGTAGAGAATATAATATACAGTATGTTATGGATTTTAGTACAATATTGTAACACAGCCATGGAGTCAAGATTATATTAGATATTGTATTATTGTAAACACTTCCCTGTGTTTATGTTTTGTTTAGTCTTGTTTTTCTTTTCCCCCTCCTCCGTATTTGTATTTTTTTTATTGTTGTGTGTTTGTTTGTTTGTTATATAAGAAATATACAGTACACACTCCATGGGGGGGTGGAATTATTACTCCAGTCAAAAATGCAATTCATTATCAGCATGGCTTGTTACTGACACATGATATTGTCCATAGAAGATACTCAGAAAAATACAGAAGCTTATTTTAAAAAATACTTCCTTTACTACTGAGAACATATAAAAAAACTCTATAGATGTTTTCAGAAGTAAATTTTTAAAAGAGCAAGAAAGTGTTACTTGTTACATCAGTTAACATTTTTTCCTGCTTGATGCATTTCTTTTTGAATATAATTTAATTAACCACAAAGTAACTAGTTCCAGGTAACTATGTCACTTGTAACTCATTGCTGATTTCAAATGAGGATGCTTTAATAATCTAAATATTTGGTAGATATGTGTTTCTCTGGTGTCTGTGTTCTTCTCTAGCTGATGTTTAAGAAGATTCTAAGTAAAGCATGGATTATAAACAGCAGAACACTGGATTCTTTCATCATGAAAATTTTGGGGGTCATTGAGGATTTTTCTCAACACTTAAAAAATCTGAAGGAGCCTATTTGCAAGGTAATAATGGTGCTTACAGCTGGATCATATTGCTGACATTCAAAAGTGAGGGGTTCGTGTCCATTATTATGAAGGGAAGAGACACCCCAGGAAGAGCATCCACAGAATGGTTTTTAAAGCAGCATCAATAACGTCACCTGCCTCAACACGCAGGTGAAATTTCCTGCTGCTCTGGCAAGTGAATGAAATAATAATGAGTAGGGTGTGTGCACTATTTCTTTGGACCCCTACTCCGAGAATTCTCCAGTAATTCTCCAGGCAGAATCTTGGGAGTTTTAGCCCACAAACATGCACCTACAGACACCTACCTTTTGCTCATTTGGAGAAGGGCCTATTGCAAGGCTTCATAACCTTTGTCAAGTTGCTTCCCCTTTTTAATGGAAGGAAGGAAAGAAGGAAGGAAAGCTGCTGTGGTTCTTCCTGGGAGTTGTAGTTTTTCAGGAGGTTCTTCCTGGGAGTTGTAGTTTTTCAGGAGGCGACCACTTGACCCTAATGGACAGCAAGACTATGACTCCCGGGAAGCACTATAGCAGCTTCCTTTTTTAAACACTAACAGGATGAAGCAGAGCTGGAAAAGGCCATTCAGCTTCATAGAATAATTGAGTTGGAAGGGCTTCCGTAAGGTCATCAAGCCCAACCCCCTGCTCAATGCAGGAATACAAATCAAAGCATATCTACCAGGTGGTTTTCCAATTTTCTCTTGAATGCCTCCAGTGTGGGAGCACGCACCACCTCTTGTGGTAATTGGTTCCACTCCCTTACTGCTCTAACAGTTAAGACATTTTTTCTGCTATTCAGCCTAAAACTGGCTTCCTATAACTTGAACCCATTATTATATGTTCTACACTCTGAGATGACTGAGAACAGATCCTGCCCCTCCTGTTTATAACTACCTTTCAAGTATTTGAAAGTGCTACCATACTGTAGGCCCTTTTCCAAATGGCTGTAGGTTTTGGAGGTGTGTGTTTGTGGGCTGAAATTCTCAGAATTCTGCCTGTGGAATTCTTGGATAATTCTGCGAGTTAAAGTCCAAAACAAATGACAAGACATTCTTTATAATGCGGTATTGAAACTTTACTGTAGCTTTTAATAGCTTAAGCAAAGACTAGACAAGTTACTGTTAAACCAGGGCCAGAACAAGGATGGAAGGGGCTGGGGCTTTGACCCAGGGCACTGAAATTGAGAGGAAACCCCAACGTTTGGTGCTAGAAGAACACAAACCTACCCACTGTAAGTGCTACTCCTCCAACTGCAACTGCCAGGTCAGAAGGAAATATAAAAGGGGTGGGCTTAGGGCAGAATTTATACAGTAGTGCCTCGCCAGACGATTGCCTCTCAGGATGAGGAAATCGCTAGATGATGGGTTTTTGCGAGCACTATGGAGCTTTGCACAACTAGATGATGGGTTTTTGCGAGCACTATGGCGCTTCACAAAACGACTTTCCCTATGGGTGATTTTCGCTGGACGATGTCCGTGCTTCACAAGATTTTTTTTTGTCTGTTTGTCGCAATACGACAATTTGGACAGCTGACCAGCGCTTTGCTAAATGGGTGTTTTTGGGACTGTTTTTCACTAGATGCCAATTTTGATAGCTGATCGGCGGTTCCCTATGGGTGATTTTCGCTGGACAATGTCCGTGCTTCACAAGACGGTTTTTTTTCGGGTCCGTTTGTCGCAATACGACGATTTTGACAGCTGACCAGCGCTTCACTAAATGGGTGTTTTGGGGACCGTTTTTCGCTAGACGCCAATTTTGACAGCTGTTCACAAAATGGTTTCCCTATGGGCGATCTTTGCAAAACAACAACTATTTTTCCCCATTGGAATGCATTAAACTGATTTCAATGAATTCCAATAACACATTAAACGGATTTCAGTGCATTCCAATAGGGAACCGTGCTTCGCTAAATGATGTTTTCGTACAGCAGCGATTTTCACGGAACGAATTTACATCATCTAGTGAGGCACCACTGTATAGTGTTCATCCTCAATCTTCTGTCTTTTTGCCATATATACCAATCTAAATGTGAACCAAACTTAACCCTGAGGGCATCAAAACTACAGGCACCAAAACTGCTAGATACAACTCTGTTTTGACAGAATACCTCAGCCAGCGTAGCGTGGTAGATGTTGCAGGATAAAACTTTTCCTGTCTCTGAGGTCTCCATATAGGAAGCTTAGGAATGAATGAAGAAAGACAAGGGGAGGTCAAACACTGTGCCTGTTTTCTTTGAGGTTTTTAACTTCCTCATGCTAATCCTTCAAAGGGTAACAATTATCAGCAAAACGATTTACATTTGTAATTCAAAGCAAAAGTTTATTATGTTGTCCCCAAATGAAGATCTTTTGTTAAAGCAAAAGTATATCCCCAGACTACAAATTTGAGGATTCCTTAGTTTAGAGTCATTGGTTGGAAAGATCAGTGAAGCTATCTAGAGGCTGGGACTTCAATTCCCCTCTGTGCATCCCAGAAAAGGCAGCCTGTGTGGCCTTGGGCAAGCTCCACAGTCCCTGATGTCCCACAAAATAAGGAGGAGGATAAACCACTTCTGAGTACTCTCTGCTTAGAAAACCCTGAAAAAGGGTTGCCATGAGTCAGAACTGACCTGACAGCATGATGCTTTTGTTGTTTAGTCATTACGTCATGTCCAACTCTTCATGACCCATGGACCAGAGCACGCCAGGCCCTCCTGTCTTCCACTGCCTCCCAGAGTTGGGTCAAATATGTGTTGGTAGCTTTGATGACACTGTTCATCCATCTTGTCATCTGTCGTCCCCTTCTCCTCTTGCCTTCACACTTTCCCAACATCAGGGTCTTCTCCAGGGAGTCTTCTCTTCTCACGGGATGGCCAAAGTATTGGAGCCTCAGCTTCAGGATCTGTCCTTCCAGTGAGCACTCAGGCTTGATTTCCTTTAGAATTGATAGGTTTGTTCTCCTTGCAGTCCAGGGCACTCTCAAGAGCCTCCTCCAGCAGTTGGTTAGGTGATGTCATCACATTGATGAAATGGGTCGCCTCCAGCATCCAATTCAAAAGTATCAAGCCTTCTTTATGGTCCAGCTCTCACTTCCATACACCGCTACTGGAAAAACCATAGCTTTGACTATGCGGACCTTTGTCGGCAATGTGATGTCTCTGCTTTTTAAGATACTATCAAGGTTTGCCATCGCTTTCCTCCCCATAAGCAGGCGTCTTTTAATTTTGTGGCTGCTGTCACCATCTGCAGTGATCAGGGAGCCGAAGAAAGTAAAATCTGTCACTGCCTCCATAGGTCACCCCTTCCAGGAGGTGATGAGACCAGTTGCCATGATCTTGGTTTTTTTGATATTGAGCTTCAGACCATTTATTGCACTCTCCTCTTTCAACCTCATTGAGAGGTTCTTTAATTCCTCCTCACTTTCTGCCATCAGAGTGGTATCATCTGCATATCTGAGGCTGTTGATATTTCTTCCAGCAATCTTAATTCCAGTTTGGAATTCATCCAGTCCCACCTTTTGCACGATGTATTCTGCATATAAGTTAAATAAGCAGGGAGACAATATACAGCCTTGTCGTATTTCTTTCCCAACAATCAGTTGTTCCATATCCAGTTCTAACCAGTAGCATACTGATGCTACTATTATTACTAGTCTAGAGTCATAGCAGTTAAAGAACTATCAAATTTAAATGCGTATGGAAATACCCGTTTTGTGTGTTTGTTTTCCTTTAGGTGGTAGAAAAAAATGAGACCATTAAGTAGCTTTATACAAATTTTAATGCAAAATCTGTTAAAACAGGTCATTGGTCTTTAGGTCATTGATCTTTAAGTCACTGTGACTGAGTATCATTCTTTCAGTTTACATTCTATAAACCATGTTAAAAGAATGGATTTTCCCATTACTCTTACTCCCACAATCCCATTACTCTTATCTAATCAGCAGTAGTGACTTTGAGCATGACGCCCAGGGCATAGTAGCTATGTTCCTGAACCTTTCTCAATCTGACATCCTCCCACTCTTCCATCCTGACAAGTTGGAATTAATGCCAGCTGACCAGCATAGCCATTGTTCAGTCATTATAGGACTCCCAACAATTTTTGCTCTCTTAGTATACAAATAGAACAAACATTATCCAAGGTATAGGAGGCAGTGTATTGCACGCACTCTGTCCCAGATGTTATACTCATTTCATTCCATGGTCTTGGACTCAAGCTGCTTTGCCTTTCCCTCTTCCTCGATACTTCCACCAAACTCTAAAACTCTATATGCATCCATATGTGTGAGACTACAATTTTTAAAAAGCTCTGAACACACATTCCAAGGGGGGGGTGGAATTGTGGAAGTATTTTGCCAGGGTCAGGTAACAGAAAATAAGAACTACGGGACATTAGGCACAAGTACTACTGTTCCCATAGCTGAGAGTTTCATGGAGCATTAGACTAAAAATGCTTGTAAATCAGCTCAGTGCAAAACCAGAAATTGGGATTCAGTTCCCCATGATGCATCCTGTGAGTAGCGCCAGCCTGTGTGGCCTTGGCCAAGCTGCGTAGGAGCAGGACACCTCCAGAAAAAGATAACGGTAAACTACTTCTTAATACAGTGGTGCCTCACATTATGACGTTAATTTGTTCCAGCGAAATCACTGTAGAACGAAAACGTCGTAAAGTGATTTTAAAAAGCCCATAGAAACACATTAAAACCCAGTTAATGCGTTCCTATGGGCTGGAAACTCACCGTCCAGCGAAGATCCTCCATAGCGCGGCCATTTTTGCTGCCTGTGCAGCGCGGAATCCGTCCCAGAAAACAGCAGGTGGCCATTTTGTTTACCTGGCGGCCATTTTGAAACCGCCGATCAGCTGTTAAAAAACCATCGCTTTGCGAGAATTGGTTCCCGAAGCAGGGAACCGATCATCGCAAAGCGAAATCCCCCCATAGGGAACATCGTTTTGCTATCGCTTTTGCAATTGCAAGAACATCAACGTCAAGCGGTTTCGTCGTTAAACGGAGCACCCATCTTGCAGGGTGTCAAGCGGTTTTGTCGTTAAACGGAGCGCACATCTTGTGGGGCACCACTGTATTCTCTACCTGGAACCCCCAGAAAGTGTTGCCATACGTCGAAATTGACTTGACAGCACATTATTATTATTGTTGTTGTTGTTAGTGCTGGTGGTGGTGACGGCGGCAATATACCTCTCAATAAGTTGTTGTTGTTGTTGTTGTTGTTAGTGCTGGTGGTGGTAGTGGCGGCAATATGCCTCTCAATAGCAGTCACTAGAGGAGTACCATGCTGGCTACTCTTGATGGGAACTATAATCGAAGCCATCCTTTCATCAAGTTGAAGGAGGATCGTATAGAGGATTTGTACCTTCAGAGTGTCTCACATTGGCTATGACTGGCTAGTGCTGATGGGGATGGGGGTGAATGCAGAAGAATTAAGAGACTCAGCAGCAGCCAAGTGCTGCTAACCAAATGCCCTTGAGTAATTGATCATCAGCAAATGTGACCACCTCTATGAAAGCCAAAGATTTAGCAGTGTGCTGTTCTGGAGCATTCATGCGTGAAGACAATGTCAAATAGGAACACACATCAGCAATGATCACAGAGAAGCTATTGTTGCTGCCCATCAGTATGGGAAGGGTTATAAAGACATTTCCAAACAATTTAAAGTCCATTATTCTAGAATGAGGAAGATTATTCACAAGTGGAAAACATTCAAAATGGAGAAGGGGGGGGGGAACCAAAGAGTTACATCTCAGGCTCTGCAGACCTCAGTTAGCATGTGGAATGTTAAAATTCATGACAGTACAATTAGAAAAAGGGTGAACAAATATGGTTTGTTTGGAAGGGTTGCCAGGAGAAACTCTCTTCTCTTTAAAAAGAACATGGCAGCATGACTTAGATTTGCCAGGTTGCATCTGGATAAACCACAAAAGTTCTGAAACAATGTCTTTTAGACAGACGAGGCCAAATGATCACCCCTCAACCACCCTACTTGACAGTTGGTATGAGATGTTTATGCTGATATGCTGTGTATGGTTTTCGCAAAACGTGATGATGTTCATTATGAACAAATATCGCCAGATTTTGCAAAAACCATACACAGCATATCAGCACAAACACCTCATACCAGTTGTCAAGTCGGGTGGTTGAAGGGTGATCATTTGGGCTTGTTTTGCAGCCACAGGACCTGGGCACCTTGAACTTTTCTGTATACCAAAATATTCTAGAGTCAAATGTAAGGCCATCTGTCCAATAGCTAAGGCTTGGCCAAAATTGGGTCAGGCAAGAGGACAATGATCCCAAGCACACCAGCAAATCTACAACAAAATGGCTGAAAAAGAAAAGAATCAATGGCCCAGTCAAAGTCCAAACTTCAACTTGATTGAAATGCTGTAGCAAGACCTTAAAAGAGTTGTGCATAAACAAATGGCTGCAAACCTCAATGAACTGAAGCAACATTGTAAAGAAGAGTGGGCCAAAATTCCTCCACCACAATCTGAGAGACCGATAAAAGTCATACAGGAAATGATTACTTCAGGTTACTGCTGTTAAAGGTGGTTCTACAAACTATTAAATCATACGTTTTTCATACTTGGCTTCTCCATTTTTTAAAATGGATCAAGTTGTATGTTGTTGTCCATCTGAAATTGTATTTATCGAATTTACTGACTTGCTAAAGACCAGATGATTTTTTATTATGTCCTGATACATAAAGTCAGAGAATTCAAAGAGGGTTAACTTTCTTTTTCACATGATTTGTGTATCCACTGCCTATCGTTTCACTCATTTGTTGTTTGGTTTGGGGCTATTTCTTTTCTTGGTAAGCAGGAATTTCTAAATGAAGTTCACAAGTTTGTGGTTAAAGAATATATCAGACAGATTCTCAAGCCAAAAGCCGGAATGAAAAGAACCAAACGGGAACTAATCAGCAGAATAATGACTGAAGAAGCTGCAACTATAAATGATACCATGAAGCATCTGGTGAGTAGATTCTGCAGTTTGCTCTTTTAATGTGGATTATTAAAGTGCTCAGGAGTATCGTTATAGAAGGATGCTCACCAAAAGAATCATTTCAAAATTTGTGGGTTATGGGATGTTAAATATTCTGTTTCCGGTTCCTTCTGAAAGGGTTTGGAAATTCATGCTGTGGTAACTAAAGAGGAAGAAATTTCAAGTACTGTTATAAACAGATCATGCAACGTAGCCTTATTTTCTCAAAGTTCAAAACTTTGTTCTTCAATTTAACCTTTCCAGTAAAGTAACTCCCTTCCTATTGTGGAGTAAACTGGGATTAGCAATAAATTGTTGCACTATAGACAGTTTCTCCCCCCCCCCCCTTTTTTCCCCCCCCCCCCCCCCCCCCCCCCCAGTTTCCCTCCAAAACACCATCCACAATTTTTTAAAAGTTTGGTTACAAAACAGGCTCAGTTTTTATTAAACTAAAGCTCCCCACCAAAAAAAATAATAACTTTTAAGTTGGTCCCCCACCACCAAACACATTGTTTTGTACTTCTGAGCCTGCTCATATCTTCCTTGTGTGTGGATGGTGTTGTTTTGAATGTGTCACTGGAGACCAAGATCACCCATTGCAATCAGACCGGGGTGGGGGGGGCTGACCTACTGCAAATCAAGGGGAAAATATACCGCCGTACCCACTGTTACAAGAATACACCCATTGGATCAAACACTGAATATGATGTCAATTTTTACGTAAAACCCATGAGTGAGTCTACGCTATTTGGAACTCAAGCGTTGGGCTTAGGCTAATATGTTTTAAATAAATAAATAAATGGAAAGGAACAATTTACAAGGAAACAGTGTGAGCAGAAATTAATCCCTTACCACTCCCAAAGCTGCCATCTGGATGCAACTGGACAAGTCCCCATCATGACTTTTTACATACATGTTTTAAAAGATGGGAGAGCTGATCACAACCACCCCCAGCATCTCATCTAATTTAAGGCAAGGGTGAAATGTTTACTTTTCTCCGACAGATATCAGCCACCTTTTCAGTTCCTCTTATTTTGGCTTGATCATACTGACTGCTAATATAGCCTTGATGTTCTGTTTGAAACATTTTGAGCCAGTGGCAGGGAAGCAAGGTATGAGTTGCAAAGGTCAGCAATTAAAACAAACCATATGGCAGTGGAAACAAATATAATTGGTATTGCAGGCAGGGGGAGGAGGGAATAAAGCAGCTCTGGCCCCTTAGAAATAAGATTACACATGCACCATGTACTGTCAAGTATGTTCACAAGAAGCTACAGTGACTTGTAAAATTGGCAGAAATACATTTGGATTGTTTGAGATCTGAATGCTTCCATCATGGATCTTGATTTTTAACATATACTTATTTATTTGTAACACTTTTCCTCCCAGGGCTCAAATGCTGATTGGCTTTTTCTGGCCATTCCTCACATTGCCACCATAATGAGTGAAAAGGAAAAAGGGAAAATCAAATGCTATCTTGAACAGCTGGCATGGAACTATCCAGACATCAGGTACCACTGAACGGACCCTGTGACAAAGGGCTGAAGTGAGGTGCTTCCTGGGTGGCTCGTGCCGAGGGCAGCTGCAATGCTGCATTTTCTGTCCTTGGAAAGTGGGGTGCAGGAATGCCGTATAACGTCTAGACCCTTTCCCACACTACAGTGGACCCTCGACTTACGGAATTAATCTGTATTGGAACGGTGGCTGCAGGTCAAAAAGTCTGTAGGTCGAGGCTCCATTGACCTATAATGCATTGAAAACCGATTAATCCCGTAACCAGCCGTTTTTGTTCCATTTTGGGGTTTTTCCCGGTCTGTAGGTCGATTCTCCGGCTGCAAGTCGAACCTAAATTTTGTGACCAGAGAAATCTGTAATTCAAAAAGTCTGTAAGTGGAGCCGTCTGTAAGTCGAGGGTCCACTGTAGCTGTCTATGCAACTGGTGCGCCACTATTTTGTAAAAATGTGTACTGTAGAAACGTTACCAGAGTATCCACGTCCAGTTGTGTTCTTTTGCAAATGTTCGGAAACATTTTCCAAGGTTTCATATCCCAAAATGAAATTGTGGTCCAAAACAGTAACTTTTCCAAGTTCTGGCCATGCCACACCTTGCCTTCAAGCATCCGCCCTTGTGCAGTTTTGCCGGACACTTACCAGATTATTCCTTACAGAAGGTGTCTGAAGATAAGGCACCAGAGACATTGGCAAGATGCGGAGGCTCTCTCACATTCTTAGCACACTCAGATGTTCGGCAGGGATGCGGATGTGAGTCGAGGGACTGGCTATCAAGTCAGATTTAAGTCACATCAGTGACTCAACTGGGGTATTTTTCCCAATGGCTTGGACTCGAACTGTGGCTTGGAACTCCATCACCACCACCACACTTCCCTGAAAAGAGCTTGTTTTTAATAGAGACTCAGGCTTGGAACTCAGGACTTGGTTTCTGAGACTCAGGCTCAGATTTGGGACTCGGACCCCAAAACTTGCCAACGTCATTGATGTTAGGTGGCATGTAAGTATGTGCTGGTAGAAAGCTGGGTTATATCAGGACCTTATGGAAGTTGTTCCACTGCTTTCTTTGTTCCTCTTTATGTCTCTGTTGTCATAATGAAAAAAAACTCTATAGATTTGTGATACCAGCGAGCAAGATCCTGTTGATCAGGAGCCATGCATGGAGTAGTCCATTCCATGTGTAATTCCCCTTTCAACTTGCCCAAGGGGGAGTCCACTAACCATTTCACAAGCAGGAACTCCTTTATGTTGTTTTTTTTTAAAATAAATTATGAATACCTGATGTATAAATACAAATTTATGAATTATAAATTTATTTATAAATATACCAACAAAAGTTAATGAGTACAAGCATACTGTATTTCTAAAGCAGGAAGAACAGCTAAAAATCCTGCATTAGGGCGCAGTCACACTTGCCAAAAGAATTCCAGTTATGCTGTTTTGGCTGTAATTTGGATTGTTCCAAAATTTTCCGTTCCCACAATGCACAGCTAACACTGATTCATTTGCCCCGGCAATCGGTTTATTTCCTCCTCACCAGGAGGGTGGTTTTAAATTATAACAGTGCCACTTCATTCCTTATTTCAGTTTGTGTATTGATTTATTTCCTTTACACAATTGACCAGATAGGCGGGGTAATTAATTAACTTTATGAAGGGGATGGGTTTTGGGGTGCTGTGACCACTTCATGGCCACTGTACTTGTATCCTTTTAAAAAATTAAAAGGATATTGGTAAATCTCTGGTAGCAGCCACCACAAAAACAACATGAATACATTACCCAGGAGACAGCTTTGCCCCCCCCCCGTGCAGGCAAAAGAGAGCCTGAAAAAGGGAAATTTCCTGCTTTGAACTGTAAAGAAAGGGGAGTAACATTAATGTCTCCTCTCTCTCATTTTAACCGTGTTCTTCACAATACTTTGCAAGTCTTTTAAAATCCGCTTCCTCCACCTGACGCTGCTCAAAAGGGAAAAGAAGTATGAAAGCCAAGAATGAAGAGGGAGAGATATGCAGGGAAATAAGGAAAATGGATTAATGAAAAAAGAGGGTAGGGGAAAGCGAGGGGGAGGAGAGAAGGCTCATGGCATTCTATCAATATATCACTTTTATAATTTAAAAAAAAGCGCAAAGGGAGACCTGATTGCCCCAAGAAATATTAGAGAAGATGAATTGATTAAAGAGCAGTGTAGCCTGCTATAACAAATCAAATAGAAAGAAATGTGCAGATGCAGTTCCAAACAATGTGAATGCTCCTGCCAAATATATATACAGTACCATGTAACTGCTGATGAACATGTATTGGTACAACAGAAGGATGAAAATAATCGGTATAACTGGGGTTCATTTCTCATGTGTGATTGAGTCCTTAGATTCCAAAAAAACAGCAGCATCAAGGCTGTGATTTGAAGCTGGCCTTGTCAAGTATTTGGTGAAAGCCAACAGTCAAGTCCTAACCTACAGCCACACAGCATCCATCACCAGTGCCTTCCCTCTCACTCTGTGCACCAGTATAGAGTCTCATTGTGGCACCTAACAGGATTTGGTTGGTCAAGACCTTGAGAATAGATTAAGCATCCTTCAGTCTCGAGGGACTATGGTAACGTGCTCTGTATGGAGGACTTGGAACAGCATCTAGTGTGGCTGAAAAGGCCAATTCGAGTGTGACAATCCTTTCCACACTGAAGACAAATCCAATCTGTCCCCTGTCCAGTTCCCGGATTTTGCTGGTTTTGGGACTGCCCCTTTGCCTCAGCCTGCTGGCCAAGTGCCTCTTCAAATTGGGAGAGGTTGTGATGCACTGCCTGCCTCCAGGCACTATTATTGAGAATAATAGTGTTGGTATCTGGCAGTCCAGAAAGGCATGGTCTCAGAAGGAAGCTAGGACCAAACTTTAGATTTCAGGGGAAAATCTAAAATGTAGTCAAAAAGCTTATGTGGTGGAGAAGTATAGTTTCAGAAGCAAGATGTTAGCAAGAGTCAGAGGGCATGTTGATCACGAGGACTGTTGAAAGCAAGGTCAAGAAGCTATGTTGCACAAGGCTGATCTACTTCAATTGAGAGTTCTGATATCTTAGTTATCGAGACCCCACCTAGGGTTACTTACAACTTCTTAGTTAATTATTCAAGGTCTTCCCATGGCCAAAAGGGCCTTTTCCTCAGAAGGCTCTTTGGTCTTCATGCATCCTACCTTTGCTGAATTCTGTTCCAACTGAAGAATCCACATACTTCTCAATACCACTGTGATATCAGGCAAAACATCAGTTATTGAACTTGGATAGAGATTCCTCATCCTGTCTTATCTCAGAAGAACCATCTTTGAAAGATTGATCTTAGACAGGAAGAACAAAATGATTTAATAGCAACCCGTGTATGTGGCCCATGATAACTTGGGTTCAAATGTTTACCAGGAACAGCTGGAAACAGATCTTTTGTTATCTAGTTTTGTTGTGTTTTGTTGCTTTTCATGTACATATTTCTTCTTCTGGATCTGTAATTCACTTTCTTTTGTTTTTCAGTGAGGAACACATGATGGCTATTCTTACCCTTAGAGGACTGAGTAAAAAGAAGAGGCAGTCAATAGCTCGTCATGTGAATAGACCCTCAGATGAGTTAGAATCTGGATCTGGAAGAACACTCTTTGCTGAAATTGAACTTCCAAATACCATCCAGTGCTTTTAAAAATTCTGAAAAATTCTGAAAATTCTCATTTTATTCTTAAAAATAATGAAATGAGACATTAACCTTGTTTCCGTGTATTTATCATCATGTTGTTGTTTAGTTGTGTCCAATTCTTCGTGACCCCATGGACCAGAGCATGCCAGGCCCTCCTGTCTTTTTATCATCATATATTTATTTATTCAATTCAATTATATACCAGTAATGATCTCAGTTCTCCCAAGTGTTGGTTTTCATGGAGACAAAACAGTACTGACCATGCACAAGACTCGGAGGGTGACTGCAGTGACCATTTATAGCACAGTTTGCATCATACTGGACAGAAATTTCTGTAGTTTAAAATTCGGCGACTACAAGACATAAAGCACACTGTGATTGAATCTTTTTTTTTACAAGAAGTCAAATGACACCCCTCCACCCGCTAGGAAAGGATGCTTTAAACTAGCATTAATTCCCCATGAACAACTGGATAGGTTTCAGGCAGCCAGTAATAACCCTGCATGATCCGTAGTTGGTATATTTGTCTCAGATTCTTGGAGGACTAGTAAATACTCTATATGACTAATTGCTATCCTAGCTTTATCTCCATAAATTTGTATAAAACCTATCCATATAGGTAGCTCTCGGTACACCCAAATGTTGCAGATCAACACTTCCATATACAGTGGTGCTTCGCATAACGAGCGCACCGTTTAACGACGAATTCACATAGCGATCCGTTTTTTGGGATCGCTAATGCGATTGCATACCAATGCCTAGATAGGCAAAAACTCGCTTTGCGACGATCGGTAAGCGTTTCGCTTACCGATCTTCGCATAGCGTTTTTTTAAAATCAGCTGTTCGGCGGTTCCAAAATGGCCGGCGGAACACCCAAAATGGCTGCGCGCAGCATTTTCGCGCCCTGCCCTCGCTTACCGAGGGCGCGAAAATGCCTGCGCTATGGAGGAACATAGCATAACGGTGAGGTTTGGGTCCATTTTCTGTTCCGTATAGCGATGTTTCCCCGTAGCGATGGTTAATCCAGAATGGATTAACCTCGCTATGTGGGGCACCACTGTACATATAAAGCCCTGAACAGTTTGAGATCTTGCTGCCTACTGGAGCGTTTCTCCTTCCACTCTACCACTTGTTCCACCCACACCTCACCCATAATCTTGCAGGTGACTACCCCAAGAAAGGCCTCGAAATCTTCAACTTGAAACTGACCACCTCTTTACGGAATTCACCACAGGTGGAAATGCATCAGGCCCCCACCTTCCTAACGTCAAGAAAGCAAATAAAAAGACCTTCAGACAGGCTTTTGAGCACTTTCTCCCTATTTAATTAAATTTGCTTAAATTATTTAATTTATGCTACTATCATTACCATCTCAGGTTTTCATATAATTGTCTAGATGGGTTGTGTTTGCCTTCTTCCATTATTTTATTTTATCCTATGTTTATTTCCTGTCAGTCTCTCTGAGTAGTGGCTTGTTACTGGATGGGCGGAAGAGAAATTTAATGAATAAATAAATAAATTACTTTCTGTTTGTCCTTTTGTTTACTTTTCCATCTTGATTAACATTAATATTGTCAATTTAAATTATTGTTTTAACTGGTTTTATGTATGATTCTGATGTGAGCTGCCCTGAGTAGACGCAGTCTAGAAGGGCGGGATAAAAATCTAATAATAAATAAAAATAAATGAAATAAATACATTTACCTCAGGCACTTCCCTTTATCCAATTTCAATCTCTTACCGTTCAGCTTTACTGAATAGTATTGGGTTCTACCTTCATGAGAGAGGAAGAAAAAGCCTCCCTTCCTACTTTCTTCACCTTATATTTTTAAATGCCTCTGTCATGTCCTCCCTTGCTTGCTTTTTTCCACGCACTAAAATGCTGAAATTTTTCTTCAGGGGGCAGTTGTTCCATGATGTGCCAACAAGGTCCAATGAAGACTGTCCTGGCCACAAATGTAATAAAATTTTATATCTAATTAGTCTTCCGTCCTTCCTTCTCCACCCCAACTTCTGCCCCATTTTGCAGCATTTTATGCTCTTCGTGTGGGGGGAATTTTTTTCCCCCAGTGGCTTTATTTCTAGGTCATTTGACCCAAATGTAGAAGAAAAAAAAGAAGAGTGAGGTTAAATAAAACAGACTCCAATAGGGCATATAGGGGTTTCGTGGAGGCAGGGAACATAAAAATGTGAGCAACGAAATCCAGATAAGTAATTTATGTTTTTCTAAAAGTACAGTCTGTAAAATGCAGAAAAGTTGTGCTTCGTGTTGCTCGGATGCACTCTGAGTAAAGAAAAGTTATTCTTTAGATTACCTTTCTAAGAAGACATTTTCCAACATACCAGCTAGGGGGATTATGGGAGTTTTAGTCCAAAAGGTAATTTGTCTAAACTCTGGGTGTGCTGAACTGGAAACACAAAAGGAATCCTTTAAAATAGATCAATAAGTGACAAAAGGGCCATGATTTAAAACCAAACTGGTTGGTCTCTGCAGAATTGAAGCATACACCCAAGAACCATGGTGGGTGGATTTCGATAAAACAAGGACCTACAATATTTTTCTGCTAAAGGGCCTCATAGTGCCAAATGGTGGCTTTGGGAAGACCTCAACCAGTTCCTCTGCACTTGAAACACCAGACAGGGAATTTTCACAGTTTAAAAAAAACCAAGGGGGGGGGAACACTGTTCATGTTCCCCTTTTATTTATCGTGTTTTCCAGAAAATAAGACAGGGTCGTATATTAATTTTTGCTCCCAAAAACCGCATTAGGGCTTATTTTCAGGTGTGTGTTTTTTTGTTGTTTTTCCACATTTACTCAAATACAGTCATGTAATCTTCTTGGGCTCCATGATTACTGCAGATGGAGACAGCAGCCACGAAATTAAAAGACGCCTGCTTCTTGGGAGGAAAGTGATGACAAACCTAAAAAGCAGAGACATCACCTTGCCAACAAAAGTCCGCATAGTCAAAGCTATGGTTTTCCCTGTAGTGATGTACAGAAGTGAGAGCTGGATCATAAAGAAAGCTGACCGCCGAATTGATGCTTTTGAATTGTGGAGCTGGAGGAGGCTCTTGGTAGTCCCCTGGACTGCAAGGAGAACAAACCTATCAATTCTAAAGGAAATCAAGCCTGAGTGCTCACTGGAAGGACAGATCCTGAAGCTGAGGCTCCAATACTTTGGCCATCTCATGAGAAGA